AGCAAGTCGCATTTTAGCGGCCATTTGTTGGCGTACAGCAATATATAAAAAATGCAAAGCATACATCATACAGGCGCTCTCATATTGAAGTTATTTAGCCTGTGGGACCGCCAGCAAGTCTGGAGAATGCGAGCAATCTGCAAGCTACGAAACATGGGGGCCGGTCAGTAACGCACGATCAAAACCCGCTCGACAATGCCGAAGAATTGCAAGAAACACGGCGGCGGCGAAAACACACAGAAACCAACATTTGTTTGTAATGACATGGCCTAAGCGTGGACGTGGTAAAAAACGACAAATTGACCTTTTACCACCAAAATTTGACAGACACCAAAAAAACGCCTAGATTTTTAATTGCAAAGGTTCTAGTAGTAATTAATCTTATGAGACTTTCCAAGATAAAGTAGAGAAGATTAATATTAACTTCAGCAAAGATAAGAAAGTTGCTACCTGTATTCGTATTTTGAGTTTAATCCTCTTTGCTTCCCTCGTTAGAAGTTCGACTTCGAAGGCTACACCAAGTCAAAAGTAAAAATATTCAAGTTTTAATTGAATCGATTTTATCTTTATTAATTTAGAGGTTGTACATACAGTAGAATCCTTGTGGAGTATTTTTTCTACGATTTCTCTTTTATTTTCAAAAAAGAACATGCACAAGTACACAGCATTTTTGTTTTACACTCGTCATTTGCCTTGTTGTTTAATCCTTTAATAATAATGAATTAGTGGTATAGTTTTATCAAGACATTATAAAAAAAATCAGCCTTATTTCAGTAATAGCTTATTATTAACATGGCTTTATTAAAAATTTCTTAAAATACTTGACCTTAATAACAATTACTTGAAAAAGTATTAAAATATTTTTTCTAATTTGCGTTTATAATACGTTTATTAACGTCTCCAGTAGGAGTCGTTTATGGCTGTCTATAAAAGCACACTGTATTTTAATGAATTTAGGGTTATTTAGTTTTTGGATGCCGCTTCTGACTTGTCAGGTAACAAATTTTGCGTTGTTGTAATAATAAAATTTTGAGTGGGTTTTAGCAAAACGTCCTTACTGTAACTTCTGTTTGCATTAAAACGCTTCACGATTTTTCTGAATAAATGACGATTTTTACAAAAAACATTAAAAAACATATACAGTGTGTTTAGAACTCGCGCCCCTGAGAAAAATTTTAAGTAAGATACCAGGAACATGGAAAAATTGTTTAAAAAATTCTATCTGTCATAAAATTTTGACACTTATTTTTTGACATTTGACATTTTTTATATCTATTTAATGTTACTGACAATCTTGTATATGTTTTTTTTATAATTATTTAGTAATGCTACAAAAATTTACAGCTTCCCTGTTTCCTCTTCTAATAGCCTGTAGCAAAAAAACTTGCAAAATTATTTTTCCAACAAACTTCGAAATTGTTATACTTTGCTAGAATTTTTTTTAACATTCTTTCTATGTTCCTAGTATCTTTTCTTACATGGCATTTTTCTGTGGGGCGCGAGTTCTGACGCACTCTGTATAAAAAAATTGTTACAGTGCAAATTCCTAATATTGTAAATAGGTTTATTTGTTATACCTTTTATCAAACATAAATAAAGTACCTCATCGTGTCATACGAAACTCCTATTACGTGACACTACACTGCAAATTTTAATCACATATGTAATATTCCTGAAAAATAAGACTTACTCTAGTCTTTTTAAAAATACTCTCAAAGGCTTCTGGTTAACATGTAGATCCGAAATATAGATACTTTTTCCCACAAATAATGTTTGTTTTATCAATTTTTAAAAATACTGATGCTATTTGTGACATCACAAATGACAACACGAAAAATCAGAATACATATTAATGATTATTGTTATTTATATTTGAGCAAAAATTTTTAACGAAAATTGTCATTGTCATGGTAATTTTAATAAAGGAAGTTGACAGTTCTTATTTTTGATTTAACTTGAAACAATGCCATTAAACATTAGCAAAAAGACGTCTAACAAAATTTAGAGACAAAACACAGAAACGGAAACAATTTGGGTACCGCTAACAATTTTTGTAAATTTGAAGACGAAAAATGTGGAAGCAGTAGTTAGAAAAATACCACCCTTAAAATTTAGACGCAATTTGTAATATTTTCTATTTTTTAGCGGTAAATTGACGAGAATACAAAATAAACGCAAATGAGAAAGAATGCAATTTAATAATTAGTGACAACATTTCAGCACGAAAACAATCATAATTTTTAAATAAAACAAAAACAGAATGCAAATGGAGCTATGGAGATACGCTGCTAAAATTTACCAATTTACCAATTTTTTCACCAATATTTTAACTGGTGATTTCCGTTTAAAAATACACACTGTATTTGCATTTGAGCAAAAATATTTATTATAAATCGTCGTTGGTTTTTAAAATCTCCTTTGTGGCTACATCATATTGTTTCAGGAGAAAGAAACAGTAGATCGTTTTACAAGTAAAGAAAACAGAAGGTTTACCTACTAGTGAAAATTGTGTGATTCACGAGCGAGAGCGAGTGAATTACATTTTTAGCAGTTAGTATGGTAAACCTTCAGTTTTCTTACGAGTTGAACATGCAATTTTTTTGTGTACTCAATGGAAAGATTTGAATAAAGAAGTACTCCTAATTTTTTATACAAATTTCTTGTTTTAATCAAAGTTGTGTTTTGACTAAACATGCGTCAAATATGAATCAGACAAAGCTTTGCTCAAAGATTCCCCTGAAATATTTACAGAATTACAAGCAGCGACTTCAAATTTACTACCTATAAAGTCAAGAGAGAAGTGTATCAAATATTACGAGATGTTTTTTAGTTGAAGTATCACGAAGCTTGAAAAAAAATGTGACTACGTTGCTAATAAGTAAAGAGTTGTTAAAGTGGCACTTTATTGATTTCTACTTATTAAAATGAGTGTTTAGCATTGAGTACCTACATAAAAAAAAACTATTTCAATACTAATTTATGTATTATGTCTGGTTACTAAAAAAAAAATTGTTTTGATGAAGGATACTAATATAATTTATACAGGCTCTCTCAACTAAACTAAAATTTGCATCTCCTAAAATCTCCGATTTCGTCCAAGAAAAAATGCTGAAACAGGTCAATTTTAACATAAAGGGGGACCAAATTTTATCATGGTTTCAAAGTTTTTATCAAAACAAAATATTTTCAGTTTTAATAAATAAGATTATTCTAAAATTTTATCAATGTTTCAAAGTTTTTATCAAAACAAAATATTTTCAGTTTTAATAAATAAGATTATTCTAAAATTTTTCTGCTCATTGTATAATATTTAAGTTGTTATACAAGTATTTGTTAAAATATGCATTTTTTTTTTTTTCTATTTTTATTTTCAAAATGCAACTTTGCAAAATTGTTTTTGGCAATTTTTTATGCGATACGGTTACCATCACTGACTGCTTATAGTGTCGTTTTTAAATGAGAAATTGAGGATATTTCATCGAAACGAATGTAAATTTGAGTTATTTTCAAGCGATTTAGGCACTGAATACGTAAATTGTTATCACTTATCAGTTTTGACTGTCAAGTATAATAAAGGGCAATTTTTTAAAGGTTGTGCACAAATTTTGAGAGATGATAATAATAGAACTGGAAGCAAAATAAATGAACTTACTTTATCCGAATGTTTATAGTTTCTGAGATATAGGGAGTACAGCGTCGGAAAATTCATCAAAAAAATGCAACCATACGAAGTTTTTACCTTTGTATTATTGTTTTTAATATGAAAACAATTTTTCATTACTGTTTTTGCTAATTTTAAGTCAATTTTTAAGCAGTGTAATAGATTTTGAAGAGCTACTTCAGAGATCATATTTGTTTACAATTGGGTGGTGAGCTCCAAATTTAAATTTATTCACTGATCTTAATAATGTCTTATAAACTATAAACGTTCGGAAAAGTTAACTTATTTTTGTATTTTTTATCTTTTACTGTCACTTCCTAAAATTTCTGCACAACTACTAAAATCACCCTGAACAATTTAAGAAGCGCTCAATAGAAAAAATAGTGTACAAAACACGTGTTACAATTTACCATTGTACTTGTGCCGAACCCTCCACGACTCGTGCACAAATTACTCAAACAATTGTTTTTTAATAAACTATCTATTTTTTAGCAATGAAAATTTTCGCAGTCACTAAGTTTATTCTTTTTAAAATTTCACGTTGCAATTTCAATAGAAATAAGAAATGTATCTTCAAATTTTATTATTCTCAGTTTTTACTATTAATAAAACAAGGAACACAGGTTGTGTTCCAGTGTATGTAAAGTTATGGACTCATGGAGATCGCTTAGACATTCACATATTAAATATGACCCCGTCTGAAACACTGAAACTGAAACTGATATTTCATGTCTCATGTATTTCATAAAATCAGACTTCAGTAATTATGTATTGAGAAAAAAGCATCCCAGTTTAAAAATGATAGCAAAATTGATTTGTTTTTTTATTTTTTCACATGTTTTATTTATAGAAATTTATTTTCTTCAACGCATTTAAAAATACACCGATCTACCTCAATACGGCGTAAAAATTGCGTTAGCTTCCGCTCATCTGTAAGAACCTTTCGCCATTCTTTGAAATTTTTGCAACGTCAGCCGCGTTTTCTCTTAATTGAAAACGCTGGGAATTGCGTGGAAACCCATGTAGTTCAATCTTTGTCGACGTTTCCCAAGTTTGTGAAGACAGAGATGGGGGTTGTAACGTAATTACAACAGCGAAATACTAGCCCTTAAAAAAGAAAAATGTGCCGATAACTTTAAAGCTGTAGAGACGAGAAAAATTCTCTTCTAGAGTCTGCAACAAAGGTGATTGATTGATAATAATAATAGGGAGGGAAAAATTTCGTAAATAAAGTCTGTTGGAAAACAAACTGTTCAAACAGGGGATGAAAATCTCGGGACTAAATTGCATGACTCTTAACATTAACCGAGGTTGACCTTTGAATTATCGTTTGTTCCAGGACCATAAAGCATTAATTTTCCGCACTCAACATTTCGCGAGGATAAATGGGCATAGGAAGAGGATGTCTAGAATTTTAAATATTTCAACGTAAAATAGGTAAATGAACATTTTATCGCAACCACAAAACAAGTACTCAAATTTATACAAACTCTGATGTCGACAGTTTCATTATAACATAAGTGTCACATCATTAAAAGCTCGTAAATTATTATACGAAGAGTGTTATTAAAAGACACATTATTTCATGAAATTATAACACATTCTATGCGATAGTTACATTATGTATTAATGCTTTATTAACTCAAGTATTCAGACTTCAGTCTCCACTTTTTACAACAGATAGTCGGGTATTTTGATGTCGGTGAATTCCTTAATTAAACCATTTCCCGGTAACCAATTAACCACAATAAACGCGTAATTGTACTAAGAATTACAAACTATTTGTTTTTTTTGCAAAATGATTTACTCGGGAATAAGATTTTTAGCGTTTTGTTTGGAGTTTAAAAAAATCCTCATTATTTTATCTTCACAATTTTATTTCATAAAAACTAAACATCATTAGCTTTCATTTGTTCTTGTTTTTATCCTTGGCGGACATTTAATACCTCCCTCACCAGGCAATGTTAACTTTATGTACAGTGTGGGATTCTGTCTTTTCTCTAGAGGCACCTGCAGCTGATCACACAAAAGTTGACAATAAATTATCCTCGTGAGGTATAATATATCTTGTATAATAAAATTTGAATGAGATTTTTGCCATTATCTATACATAGATGGTGCATTACAATTACATAAAAATGCTATTATTGCGATGAGTATGGAAATATCCTCATATATCGGTCGGAAAAGTATGACTAACTAAATGTGAAATATACTTGAGGTATACATGATGCATAAATAAATAAATTAGACTCGCTGCTTAAGTTATAAAATGATTTTTTATTTTGAAATCTGTTAATTAATGTTGTTTATACTATTTATGATAAATTTATTTAACGAATTTGTCTAATTTTTGGAAAATTGAATTTATGGCTGTGGTAATGTCATAATCAAAAGTTGGAAATACAGAATTGGCGAATGTAACTGTGATTAATTAATAAAAGACAATGCGTGATAATGATTATTAAAGGTAAAATTAACATTAATTAAATGACGAGAATAGTGGAATTTTCATCAACATTTATAATATTAAATAAATCTAAATACATACCTCATAATTGGTTCTCTCTTACAAATATATACAGGGTGAATATAAAGAATGAAACCAAGCGGTTTTTTTTAATCATTTGCCTCCAGAAAATAATAATTAATAAAAAAATGTGATCATATTTTGAGAACGAAACTTTGTTTTGTATTTGAGTTATACGATTTTTTTTCAAAATGGCAAATTATGGTTTTACAGTGGGTTGCCATTTAAAAATCAAAAAAATTGTAAAACTCCAAAACAAAAGTAAATTTTGAAACATTTTATTCTTGATAAAATAATAATAATAATTGAAGAATGATAAAGTACTATAAAAATGTGATGTTTTACATTTTTATAGTACTTTATCATTCTTCAATTATTTTTTCTAAAAAATTAATAGTTTAAGCAAAAAACCCTTGGTTCCATACTTTATTCACCTGGTATGTATACAGGGTGTGTCAGAACTCGCGCCCCAGAGAAAAATTTCAAGCAAGATAAGATAAATATAGAAAAATGTTTAAAAAATTCTATTCGTCAAAAAATTTTACTATTTATTTTTTGACATTTGACATTTTTTTATGTCTATTTAATGATACTGATGATCTTGTACTTTTTTTTATTTAGTATAGTAATAAAAACCACAAATAACATTAAACAGAGTTACAATTTAGGATAGCTTCTTTGTTTCCTCTTCTAATTATGATTTTGTAGTTGTTTTAGCCTGTAGCAAAAAAAACTAGGAAAATTATTTTTCCAACAAAAATAAATAATTGAGTCAAAGTGTAAAATTTAAACTCTTATGATTTCAAAATTTTTATATATATAGAATTTTTTAATATTTATTCCATGTTCCTGGTATCTTACTTTACACGACATTTTTCTTTGGGGCGCGGGTTCTGGCGCACCCTCCTATAGGTAGACAAATAATTTTATACTAATTAACTCATCTAATTGTTTTATTCGTTTCTTTTTAGATTATTATCCTTGCATTTAAACACTGATTACTGATCAGAATATGTAAAGTGGTGATAATGAATTTTAAAAAGAATTTGAATTTGAAGCGAATTTTAAACATTAAACGATCATTGTACTGGACATGTCCCATTTATATGAAAAAAAGGATCGGTTAATGACCATTGCAGTGAACTAAATAAAGCTTAAACAATTCATTGAACGGAAACTGCTTGTTAAAACCACAATCTGAATGGTGCAGGCTGAGTGAAGCAGAACACGAAACTGGATTTGTTTTAGCTGTTTTTCTTGCTTTGTAATTTTGCAAACAAATTCTGATTTCACTACAGACGGCAGTACTTCAAGTATTGACTTTTGAGATTACAGAGACGAGTGGAAAATTTATAAATATTTAAAATGGCCTTGCAAACGAATGTTAAAATTAAATTTTTCTCTTTTACATAAAAAATTATTGTTGAAAAAAGTAGGAAAACGTCTAGCCGTTTAATGATTATTTTTTTATTTAAAAAATTATAGCGCAAAAAAGTAGTTAATATCTAGGTGATTTAGGTACATTAATGATAACAATTTTAATATCAAAAATAAATTTAAAATTTATTAGGTTTTTTTTTCATTTTATTGCGAATAGAATCATCATCGTGGTTAAGTTCTTACAAAATTTCAATAGAAAACACATTTTGAACGGTTTTTGACTTAAATATTTGGTAAGCTCTAATAATAATAATCAAAAATATAATTGGTGACAACTATTACATACAGGATACAAATGCAATTACACTAGATTTGCGAAATTGTTATCACCATAAAAACTATATTTCCGGATTTATAACGCAACCAATAGTGGTTGTTAAAATTTATTCATAATAACTTGAAATCCTGTTTGAAATTGAATTAGCACGTTGTTTTTGAAATTCTTGAAAGTTAGAATAAAAAAAGAACCAAAAAATGTCTTCGAGTAATTTTAGAAAGTTACAGAACTCAAAAAAATAAATTTATTCATAGTTAAAAATTTGGTCTATTCTTCAGTATATTTTTTTCTAGCTCTATAGTATACCTTTTACAAAAATATTCCAATTTCTTCAATCCCTTCAAAAAATAAGATTTTTAAATTTTAAAACTCTGCAAGATGGGTGTTCTTTTCAGAAATAACTTAGAAAAAAAACACTGTTTTGACTGAAATTTTTATTGGCTAGTCTAGTGATGAATTTAAGTTACAATCACAAAATGAAACAATGTAGAAACTCACTTGGATTGCTTTTATACAGGGGTGTTCCGTTTTTATTGTTACAAATTTAAGTAAATGATAGAATATTCAATTTTACAAAAGACAAAAGTTTCCTATAAACCCCTTAAAAAGGGTGCGTTTTTAAAGCGCGTTTCCCAATATTTCAGAATAGATAAAATTACAAAATTTGTTACAACTGATAACCTTTATACATCTAAACGAATTCCAAGATGAAATCTCGAAATTTTTAATCAGCGGCGACCTAAACGGAAAAACGAATTTATCATTTTTTATTTTTATGCTGTTTGTGGTCTGTAACGTACATTTTTTTAAACTGATTTTACTCAAAAGCGGTAAATTGTATCGGGGAAAACGCAAAATACCTTTTTTTATGAAGAACTATGAAATTAAGAATTTTGTTGCTGAAAATGGCAAGAAACTAGAACCAAAAGAGTTAGAATCTTTTTACCCTAAAGCTCCTGATTAAATTTTCAACATTTTATCTTTGAATTCGTTTAGGGGTACTTATATCATCTATACATAATTTTCTAATTTTATTTAAAATAGTTTCGGAAATATTAGAAAAACCTCATTAAAAGACGCCCCTTTGAGGAGGTCTGCTCGTAGCTCCCTTGCGATATATGTTCATAGGAAACTTTTGTTTTAAAATTGAATAAACTATCTCCTGTTTAAATTTTTATTTTTTTTTAAATTTGTAACAATAAAAACGGAACACTCTGTACACAGTGTAAACAAAAAGTAACCCACACAATGATAAGGTAATTTTTACTAAAAAAAGTTTGAACAGGTGTATTTTATTTTTGTAAATACTAGATTTTGACATTAAACCAACATTTATTACGTCATTGATTTTAGAGTAAAGACGTCGTCATTATTTTTTTTTAATGGCAACCGACATTTTTTTACTGTTTTTGGTAGCACTTTCCGGTGGTAAAAAAATGATGTTAATTCATATAATAAAACAACATAAGCCATTTTTTGATAAAATTAAGTACGTTTTTGTAAAAAAAAATAGCTGAACTTAAAACTTAACAAAAACCCACATTTTTACAGTCACTTATGTGACACGTTTTATGGATTTTGATAAAATTTGTTTTAATTTGTTAACAACACACATAAAACGTAAACATAAAAAAATTAAAAAAAACAATAATCTTTGACAAAATAAAACAAAAACAGAAAGATAAAGATAAAGCTCGTAATTACTAATAACATTTTTATTTCTGACAAGTGTGGAAGTTTATGTAATACTCCTATCTTTTTTTTTATTTTCCAGAAAGATATGGTAATGTACTACCAAAAACAGTAAACAAAAATGTCGGTTGCCATTTAAAAAAATTAATAATGACGTCATTACTCAAAAACCAAAATAAAAACAAATTGTTCCATGAAATGCAGAAGAATTCCCATAAGATTTTCTCGATTTTTCTTCTGGTTCCTTTTTTTATTTACAGGTGTTTCAAAATGATGTTGCCAGGAGGTTATAGCGGTCAATGCGGTATATTTTTTTTGCATATAAACCCTTAGTCAAAAATGAGTCATTTAGCCTTGTTCAAAAACTTATTCCTGTCTTGTTCAGATTTAAACACGTCGATATTTAAATAATTTGTATTCAAAATAAAGAAGGAAAAAAATCAGTAAATAGCCGCTATAACCCTCCTACATCTTTTTGAAACACACCCTGTATATTTAAAACCGTTTAACTTTTGCAAAAATAATACCGAAATTAAAAAAAATCAGTTTGCTATTACTAATTGAATTTTTTTTTGTTTTTTTCAGATATGATCTGGGCTTGGCAGCGTCATCGCCGAAGATTTAATTCACTCATCCACACCTCTCCAAATCGTCGATAATTTTAGGGTTGATTAATTTCATGTAAAACGCAGAAATTGTTCTATGATAATGTCAGTATCAGCGAAAGTATGTCGAAAAATGTCCCCAAAGACCTTCGCATTGACAGCTATAGGCCTCACTATAATCCTTTGCGTGTATTACGCCAATTACACCACTGACATTCGCACAAATCAAACGCAAGAAAATTCAAAAGAAAACGACGAACTGCCTCAACCTCAGCGCGTCTTCGAACTTCTCCAAAGATCAAAAGTCGCAACTAAAAAAGAGTTCGAAGTGTGCCCGAAGCTGTATCCTGCGGAGGCGGACATAAGCACTGTGGATGTTTTTAAGGATTTCGAGTTTCAGGTGAGTTAACGGATCAAAATGTTATTCCTTTCGGAACGCTTGTTTTTCTACACTTTTACTCACACTTGTGTTTGGCTTGTACTTCCACTTTGTTTGAGTTAGGGAATGGACAAGGTAAATGCTTTGTTAACGTTGCAGTAATTTGGTTCTGTGTAAATGCAAATGTTGGAAACAATGTGGTTATTACTCGGAAGAGTAAAAATTAACATGTGGACTCACCTGCTGATGTAATTAAGTTTTTTGTTACTGTGGCACGATTAAATCATTAAATAATAAATTGAGTCATTACCAAGTACTTAAACCGGCTCATTTTTAATTGCTTTGCTATGAAAATTTGTAGTATCCTCAATGATGCAAAACTGAATCTGGTTATTAGGTTGGTTATTGCATGCATAATTGTGTTTAATTTTCCTAAATTTGAAATCTAATGAATGTTTACATTTTGAAAGCTATTCTATAGGGTGCGTCAGAACTCGCGCCCCAGTGAAAAACATCAACTTAACAACGATTGTTGCAAATAAGTTTAATTCAGGATTAAAGACGATGTATTTTTATAAAAATTATGCTTCAATATTTCGGATTGTTCAGGTTGCACTGTAGGTGCGCCAGAACTAACGACCCAGAGAAAAATGTACGATACGGAAAAAATGTTAAAAAATTCAATCTATAAAAATTTCGAAGGAATGAGAGTTTAAATTTTGTACTTTGACTCTATTTCTGTTGGAAAAATAATTTTTCAAGTTTTTTTGCTACAGGCTATTAGAATAGGAAACAAGGAAGCTGTATCCTAAATGGTAACTCTGTTTAATCCTATTTGTGGCTTTCATTCGCAAAATTTTTGTACCTTTACTAAATAATAATTATATAAAAGAGTTACAAAATCATCGGTATCAAATAGACATAAAAAAATGTCTAATGTAATTTTTTTTTAAACATTTTCCCATGTACCTGGTATCTTATCTTACTTGAAATTTTTTTCTGAGGCGCGCATTCTGTCACAGCCCTGTATACAACTATATACATACAGGGTCGCTAAAAAGTATGGATACAGTTAAATATTATAAAAACTATTCATCAAAACTTATTGAATTTGGTATATGCTTAAAAGTATTTAAATTCCATCGCCTCATATGTTTATCAAACTTCTATCGCCATTTGTTATGGGGATAGAAGGCGCAAACTTTTTTTTTAATGTCAAGAAGGGTCAACTTTATTATTTTTAAGAAGAGTATTTTTTTCTGAGTTCTGTGATATAATACATGCATACCTTATTAAAAAAAAATATCGAACTAATTAAGTTTTGAAAAATATAAATTCTTTTTAGCCTTGGAAATGTTGTTTTTAACTATCGTTAGTTAGCTTTTTGCCGCCTGAACTTTGACCAAAAAATAGGTAAACTGTTTCTCAAATTTCAACGTGCTCTGCTAAACCGTTCTGAAAATATTTAGCTGTATCAATTCTTTTTTGCGACCCTGTATACAGGGTGTTCCATCTAAACCCCACATTAGAAGTATTGGGAGTTGGGATAATCGTATTTATTTGAAAATTGGTACATATTCATAAACCACTAAGTCCTCCTAAATGAAAATATTTTCAAGATGGCGGCACTTCTGCTTATACCGGAAGTCGGACTCAACTTTCTTACTTTAAATAGAAAGGTATATTTTTTACTGCGTTTTTGGATTAATCGGGTTATTTTAAGAGAGTTTTTATCAGCTTTCCCTATACCTAAATTTAGCCGTTTTTGAAATATTTGGAGTTTTTTAAAAAAATTTGGATCTGCACCTTCCACTTTAAAAAACGGTAACTTAAAATAACCCGATTAATCCAAAAACGCAGTAAAAAATATAGATTTCCATTTAAAATGAGAAAGTTGAGACCGACTTCCGGTATAACCGGAAGTGCCGCCATCTTGAAAATATTTTCATTTATGAGAACTTAATGGTTTATGGCTATGTACCAATTATCAAATAAATATGATTTTTCGAACTCCCAATACTTTCTAATGTGGGGTTTAGACGGAACAACCTGTATTTACATTTGGAAACCATGTGCTCGAGCTTCGCGTCGATTCTCCTTTTTAGATGTAATCGTACGGTTTTTTTTTTCTATAATAAAATTAATTCTGTATATTCAATTAAATTAGTTAGCTCTCGCGGGGTCAATTAAAATAAAATTGACACAACTGCAAGCGTAATTTAATTGTATTACTTACAAAGAGGCTGCATAAAATAATAACAGGGATTTATAATGACATCCAATTGGACAAGAGACCAGTTTAATAGCATTATTTAATCATAATGTGTGTGTTTGTAAATCACAAAATTCAATGTAAGCGTGACCTTTCTAAATCATAATTTTGAATAAATATGAATAGCAAAACGCATAAAAGAAAAACAAATGATTTTATCATAATATTAATTAAGAAAGTGGAAATTTGACTATTATGTAATTTATGTGTAATTTAAGAAAGTGAAGTAAATTTGAGCTATTTATCTTTTTGATGTCATTGCTAAATATGATATTTTTCCTCTACATTACCTGGAGATCCAAGACTAAGCTTATTTGTGACGCCTGTGCAAAATAAGTACTTTATTTCCATTTTGTTTATCTCCTACTAACATTTTAAAATCCCATAACACGAAATGGGAGCTCTAAATAAATTTGTTTTTTGTTAGATTTAAAATGTAGTTTGGGGGAAATATTGCTACTTAGGTGGCAAAATTTATTATTCATTTCATTCCTGATCATAGTATTATTTGTAAATCGTATAATTAACTGCGAGTTGATGTATCATAAAATAAATCATTACAAAGCTACCAAAAATTTATGTAAATGAGAAACAAAAATTAATCATCATATTTAAACAATATATTTTGTTCCGATACGCCACTAAATGACTGTAAATAAAAACATAATTTATAAAATGATTTCATTGTTGGAAGCCTACAGCTTGTGCACAAAAATAATGGAGCCATTTGAAGGGTTTATTATTTTGTCTAATTGTTTTCTTTTTATCATACATTACACGGACAATTTACTGGGGTAAAGTAGCGTTACAAATTTTACATTTTAAAATAGTTTTTATCTAACAATGGTAAAAGAAGGACACAACAAAGTTAACCGCCTTTTATGGTTGGAATTACTTACTATTTTTCTGAAACGCGTATCAGTTTTTTCCATCGGATTTATTATCAACAAATTTTGATGATTGACCATTAAATGTAACATTATTGTTGTCTTAATATTGATTTTGTCTATTCAATAAAATGTCCTGTTATTATTGTTTCGGACAGTGAACTTTTAGGGTATTATCGCGATCAAACTTTTCTCTAATACTATATTTGATTTACAACATGAAAAGTATTAATAATTGAAGTAAATTTGAAATTGAATATTGAAATTATTATTATTATTAATGAAAATAAAAAAATTTTTGTTTGCCATACAAAGTTCTACATTTTTTATTATCGCGTAGAAATTATGTTAATTGTACAAAATGGTTGTAATTGTAATAGCATTAACGAAATTTGAATCAAAATATTTAAAATAAAACACAGAATTGATAACGATATATTTTGGTTATTTTATTTTAGGCAGTGCATCCGCAGCTGGCAACGGTGCTCAAAAAAAATAGAGGGATGACCAGCGTCCGTTGCCCGCGCATTGTTAGTTCAGTTTCCTGTTTATTTTGATTGGCAGATAAATATCGCCCAAAATATCACGATAAAAATATCAACGATATTTGTTTTTTGTGATATATAGTGATAAATATCAAAATAAAATGCGTAATTGTGTACAAAAAACTAACCTAAAAACTGGAATCTTTGATCAAATTTTTGAGTAAGACATTCTACTGCCGAAACTTGTTAAAAAATAATGTTTTATTTTTTTTATTTATTTACGTTACTTTTGGATTTTTTGTTAATTTAGGTATTAGAATTTGAAACAAAAGTGAAATTAGCGGTAAAATGTAAAAATTCTTTACCGGCAACTGGTATGTATGGGCGCTGTTGCCGGCAGCGGAGGAGCTGCTTTTATTTTATACAGTGAGCGGCGAAATTATGGAATAATCTTACTAAAACTGAAAATATTTTGTTTTTGTAAAAATCCTTGAACAGGTCAATTTTCTTTTTAAAAAATACACAATTTACAATTTGATTTAATATTTTACAAATTTTGTTTTTTTAATAATGACGTCATCGACATTTTTTTTTAAAGGAAACCCCTAATTTCTTTAGCCAATTCGATAGATTGAAATGACTATTTACACCCAAATAATTAGATTTTTTCACTTTTAATAAATAAGATTATTCTAAAATTTTGCAGGTCACTGTATATTTTGGATTCATTAATTCCCATGGGTTCATCCTAAAACTGGCTTTTGTAATAAATAAACACACATAGTGTTTTTCAAGTAATTCATTAAACGAACAAGTAACCAAATATATTATTTTAAATTGTTTTTAAGACAAAATTAATTTAAAAAGGGGAAAACTTGGATGATCCATAAACATTTTCCTTAGACGAAACTGCCGAAAGTTTTAAGTTTATTATTATTAGTACGTTGTGAAGAGTATAATTATTTCAAAAAAGCATAAAGTGGGGCATAAATCTAGGAAAACTAGCAATATTGCAAAGTTTCAGTTGATGAAAAAAATATGCGGATCTGTGGCAATGCTGAAAAATTTTAATAAGTTCCTGGATGATGAAAGAGGTAAGTTCCAACTTTCCGTGTTCGAATTCTGCTCTTGTTATGATTACAATGCTTTTGAAACTTTTTTACCAAATGAAAGACTGTTGCTACGTTGAGTAGCTAACTAAGGGGGAGATTCATCTCTCCTAATATTGTTTCTAAATTTAACACTATTGCATGTAGGAAAAAACACAGAAATACATAAATATAAAAATTGTTTCCATAAATCCCTAGAAGGTTTATCAGTTTATCACCGATCGTTTACACAGGCGTTTGACTTATTTATTATTTATCCTCCAACAGA